ACCCTTAGTCTTTTATCTCACAACCCCGGGTTTTTGTTGATCAGGTAAGGTTAGGTATTTTTTACCCCTTCATCATGAATGTTACGAGCTCATGGGGGATATTTTTGCCTAAAGTGTGTGTGTGGGGGGGTGATTGAGGTGCACTGATTTTATTTTTTCACTGGTACTTAGAAAAGCCAGACTTTCTAACCTAGACTTTCTCTTGCACTGAAGGTTATACCAACCATCACATTTGGGATAAGGAAGGAATTTTTCTTTTAAGTCATACTGGTGCAGACCATGGTGGGTTTTGTTTGTTATAGGGCATTGTACTTTTCCTAGGACCTTTAAGCATATATTAATTGATATTGGTCTCATTTTCCCTGCTTTTATCTATGACATTATAGGGCATTTTTGCCTGTTTAAGATGTTGTCCATTGCAGTTCTGTGTGACAATTTGCAGTAGCAACTATAGGGATTCTTTGGTTAATAACTGTCTGAAATGCAGTGGCCTGGCCTAGAAAGTCCCTTGGAGGCTCTTTCTATTTCTACATTCCTATGTCTTTGACGCTTTGATTAGAAGGTCACATCAATTTCTAGTCTACATCTCAAACTAATGACTGAATCATCAAAGTTAAAGATGGCAAAGTCAGTTAGCTCATCTAGTCCATATACCTGCAAGTCCAGGAGAGTCCCTACAGCATGTTTCTTAGGGTATTTTTGTATATGCAAGCACCGCAGCACCAGGTGCTTTCAAAAGCGCTTGGTGCTGCGATGCTTACAGTTGTATGAGCAGTGAAATGTGCGTCAGTGCTGAGGAAATGGTACCAACATGCTTTTGAACTAAAACACATTAGAGGTGCTTTAGTTCAAAAGTGCACTGCCACCATTTTCTGCATTCTGATGCTCATTTTGCCGCTTATACAACTACGTGCAGCGCAGCACAGTTCTTCTCAGTTTGTGTGCGGAGCAAACTCGAATAATTGAACCTGCTCCAAAGCAGCAGATCTCTGGCACATTGTGGGGCAAAAAAAGTATGTTTATAAATGCCCTTAGTGTTTTAAATTATCATATACTTTTATACTGTAAGTAAAACTCCCATGTAAGTAGAACCAGGGAGATGTATATAGATTATTCTTAAACTATTCCGCTGTATCTGAAACTTGTTTTTAATAGAAATGTTAAAGAAAGTTTAGGCCAAATCCAAGTTAGAATTACCTACATGTACACGCACACACACAGACACACACACGTGCGCACACATTTTCTGAGTACCCTGTGGTAAGCTGATGTCTTAGTCAAGGTTATTTTAAAGCAGCAAGGAAGATGCTTAAAGTCATATTATTTCAAATACTATCACTAGCCTAACTAGGGCTTCTCAGAAAGTGGTCTTTGGAGAGTCACTGGAAGTAAGCAGAAAGGTGGCAACTCACATGATGCTAACTCTACTCTCTGCTAAATTCCATTTAAAACAGCTAAAATTAAATAGGTTTCTAATAATAAATTTCTATGTAGGCAGTTGCTGTAGACATGCATGTGGCTGCCATGAAATCTCAACTTTAAGGAAAGGCTGTGGCTACACTTCTGAACAGAAAGGGATCAAAGTCTTTCTTTTCATCAGTGGGAAAGATACAATCTATTAACATAGGCTTCTAGCAGACGTGGGGGAAAAAATCAGTGCTTTACTTTAAACTCAGCACCCTGCCACACCAAGCCCAGCACATGCCCAGAAGAGGCAGCACCTTAGTTGCACTCAGCTTTCTCAACATCTGTAGACATCAGGCACATTAGTGGGGCTCTTTGGCGCTTTTATCTAAATGATGGAATTGAATGAGCTTTAGCTAATGTGCCAAAAAGCCCCACTGAAGCACCTGATCTATACAGATGCTGTAGAACCGGGTCAAATTAATGCACGGCTCCTCCAGTACAGCATAAGGTTGCTTTTTTTCCCCACATCTGTGAGGACCCACAATGTCCAAATTAAGGATGTGTTTGAGAACCTAAACTTTTGACAGTTTATTTAGAGAAGTTGTGTAACATGTAGACTATCAAGTTAAACATCAGCCATGTATATAGGTAAACTTAAGGTTTTTTTGTGGAATAAGAATAAGTGTGCTTTGTAAGGAAAAGTTCTGTTATGTCTTTAGTAAATATTGATTCTGCTAAAATTTGGCTGCATAGTATAGTGTTTCTCAACAAATTTGACTCTGAATAAGGGACTCTCTCAACCCTATCTTCTTACCCACAGCTAATGTCCCCCACAAACCAATGCACTGTGGGCATTAATGTCCACCCCCAGCCCAATGGACATTGGCTGTGGGTAAGTCTGAGCCTATATCCCTTGTGATTCTCTTGTCAGGCAGGCTGCAAAGACTCTTAAACTAGGTCTCCAACTGGTAGTTCTGGAACAGAAGCAGCATAAACACGTTGTCACAGTGCTATACCTGGGCTAAATAGCCTTTTTTCTCAGAGAATGAAGGAGGCTCTTCTGCTTCCTGTTTGGGTGGTAGAACGTGCATCACAGCCCAGTTTCTCAGTGTGGTTCTTCCTGGCACCAGAAATGTTTGGGGATATGCTAGGTCCCCTGGTTACCTCTGTATTCAGCTTTATTGCCCCTCATTGGCCCACCAGTTGAGAACCAATTGCATTGTTGGCATATCACGGTTGAAATGCAACAAATTTTGTCTTGTATTAGTTTTTAATTTTTGTATGAAAAGCTTCTGTAAACACTTGTCATTAGACACATAATTTTACAATATTTACCAAATATTTCAGTAATAATTCATGAACTGTTCACTTCAGTGCTTACTGTTTATGACTGCTCAATTGCTTGCAGGGTATTATTTCTTCTTCATGATTCAGGACCTCAATTAAACATACATTTAAAGTTAAGCCAATTCTATACTGCATCAGGTTCTGGCCAACAGATTGGACAAAATAGGAGAATAAATTAGGTCTATTGCTTAATGCCACTTTATAGTGAATGAGAAATGATGTTATAGTCTCTCAAACATTGGTCACAACTACATGGAAGTATTCAGAATGTTCATGGATCCCCAAGAATACGTTCCCTGAACAGCAGCAGATAGAAAAAATAAAATAGTTTATTCAAAAATATATTTATAAATCTGTTTTTTGATTATTCATCCTGCTGAAATACTGAAATATGAACTTTACAAACTGTGAAAACATTTAGTAGCTGTGAAATTTCAAGGCTATAACTCATTTATGGGTTTTATATTAGAATAAGTGTGACACATTTTGTATTTTGATTACAGTAATAGGATTTTAAAATGTTAGGGAAAGCCTTCATGAACATTAAATATCAAAGATTTAAAATATGCTAATAGTTTGTTTTTCAACATCAAGAATTACTATTTTTTAAAACCTGAAAAAAAAATCCTGTTCAAGTTAGTGGTTCCAATCTTCCACAGACCATTCACTTGTTACAACCACATTCTGTAGCATTTCAAAAATATTATCCAAATATGATGTTTTAAACACATCTCTAAATGTGGGAGGCCCATGCTGTTTATGAAAAATTAATGTCAGACACAGAGATTGCTTCCTTGGAAAACTTTCTATCAAAATTAGAGGCCATATTTAGCATTTTAGAAAGCACTTTGTAAACTGGAGTAAAGAAAAAATGGAGAAGAGGCCTGCTCTTTACATGCACTAAATTTAGTGGTATTTTTGCTCTTTACTTCAATATAAAACCCATCAAGTTATTTTTAAATTTGTAGGCAGTAGCACTGCAGACTGCCTGTCTTTGCATTCTGAATCCAATTTACATACAATACTGATAGTCTAAAATGTGTGCAGAGGTAAATTTAAATTTTAATAGACTTTTGTTGTAAAACACATTCATAACTTTAAACAGAAACTGCCTTTTTAACTTTAAAAAGGTCAAAGAATTAACATTCATATTTCATTGCCTAACAAAATAGCAGCCTTAGTTAATTAGTTCAGTATAACTATTTTTACTGCACTAGAACTCTAACAAAGTTTTAAGAGCTTGCAAAGAAATCTTGCTGATTCCAAAAGCAATTTGTCAAGTTTAAAGTGGAATTATAAAGGTGGCAGATACTAATGTCCTAGGTCAGGAATGCTCAACCCCCGTCCTGTGACACCATGCTATCCAGCCCAAACGGCTCCCCACTGGCCTGGAAAGTTGGCTGTGGGGGAGCAGTGGCAACTGCTGCCAAGTTTCCAGACTCAGGCCCTGCACTAGATTGGATGACTGGATTGGGTGGGGGTAGCATGAGGTCCTAGTGCCCAATCCCAGTGTATAGGTTTGGGAAGGGGCAGTGTCAGGACCCAGGGTCCCAGTCCCAGTGTGCAGGGCCCAGAAGGAAGCACCACAGTCCCCAGGACCCAATCCCGGTAAGGGGCTGGAAAAAGCACCTGGGGCCCAATCCTGGAGTCATGGAGCTCTATTCAACCCATAAACTCATCCTTCACCACTTATCTGGCTTGTATAGTCAAAAGGCTGAGCACCACTATCCTAAAAGGTAACCACACTATTTAGACTAGACAGAGCTCATTAGAAACCAGGTGATAACCAACTCATATTTAATGCATCTAGACCTTTGTATTAGTTCTAAGTAATCTGAAGAAGGTTTTACAATGATTATATTCATTTAAATGGTCCATGTCTACATTTTGTAATGGACAGAAGCGTGTAGATTTCTGGTCATGTTCGAAAGATGCATTTTTGTTTGTCTTTGACATAGTAGAGAGGAATCACCTGTAGTGAACAGGTCTGATATTTTGCGCAGTTATGCATTACTGACAAACTCTTTAAATGACTGATATAAACTTGTTCTACTATTACTGGCTTGGCACCTTGCACAAATAATAAAGATTTTAAGTATTACTGTTATTGGTAAATTGAACAATTATAACCATTTTCTCAAAATTAACACTTTTTCCAGTCTAAAACATATATGTGCAGTTGGCAAGGAGATTCCCTGTGCTTCACAGTTGACTTTGCTTTGGGATTCACCTGTTTTGACAGTAAAACAAAGGTAAGAGGGGAAAAGAAACAAAAACTATAACCTGCTCTATTTCACTGTTGCTGAATTTGTTCAAATTATTGTTTTTAGTGATGGTATTTTCCATTTGCTTGATTCACACAATATTATAATCTATTTTCTGTTGGTATCACAAAAAGGCATCCTGGAAAAAGAAAAGCGTTTTTTGCCCAGGTGACCAAGGTAGACACAATTCTTACAAACAAAAAAAGAAAGCTATTTGGATATTTAAGCTGAGCTACAGCCTCTAAAATTTCATCCAAAAGACCCCAAGTTATAGAAGACTTGGCCAATCTTGTGAAAATGAAATATTGTGTGATCCTGATTAAATGTAAAACTTTGTGTATAGGACCTTCTACTCTTCAACAATAGGACAGTTAAGGACTGACTTGTGCCTCCCCCTAGGGGTCAGGAGAAAAGACAAAGAATAGGGCAGCGTGTAAAGAGCCTTTCCTTCTGCCTTCTGTAAAGTTCAGAAACATCTGGTCCTTGTGCCTTTCTGAATATACAGATTTTGAGAGACAGCACATCTTTTAGTGCTAAATTTCCCAAACTCAATGGAGGAGGAAAGGGCAGGGACTTGCCTCTATTCATGACCACTGATAAAGAGGTGATAAGACCAAACTTTCACAAACATACATTACCTCACTCATTAAAAAACAATGATTGTACACATGCATATCACATTGTAGGTAGGCATGTGGATGCCCAGGGTGCTCTACTCAGAGACTTTTAGTACCTGTAGGGGGATATGTGCTCCCATCTTATCTTCTTGCAGGCTGAGGACATAAGGAAGTAGAGCCAGCCAGACTCTCCTCAGTTCCTTCTCAGAATCCTTGACTGAAATTTGAAGATTCCCATGTTACCCTCACCCGCACAATCTTTTGTGCACTTACAATGCTGAAATACTTAGTATTCATACATATTTAGTGATTGTGCACCCAGATGATGGAAGTTCAAAACATCTTATCAGAAAAGGACTTGTAAAAGAGAAATGCAGCATTTTGATATCATATATTCATAGATGTTAGGGTCGGAAGGGACCTCAATAGATCATCAAGTCTGACACCCTGCATAGGCAGGAAAGTGTGCTGGGTTCAGATGACCCCAGCCAGATGCCTATCTAACCTCCTCTTGAAGACCCCCAGGGTAGGGGAAAGTACCACCTCCCTTGGGGCCCATTCCAGATTTTGGCCACTCTAACTGTGAAGAAGTTCCTCCTAATGTCCAATTTAAATCTGCTCTCTGCTAGCTTATGGCCATTATTTCTTGTAACCCACAGGGGTGCCTTGGTGAGTAGAGCCTCACCAATTCCCTTCTGCACCCCAATGATGAATTTATAGGCAGCCACAAGATCACCTCTCAACCTTCTCTTGTGGAGGCTGAAGAGGTCCAGGTGCCGTAGTCTTTCCTTGTAGAGCTTGGCCTGCAAGCCCTTAACCATACGAGTGACCCTTCTCTGGACCCTCTCCAGGTTATCCACATCCCTCTTAATGTGTGGCACCCAAAACTGGATGCAGTACTCCAACTGAGGTCTGACCAGTGCCCGATAGAGGGGAAGTATCACCTCCTTGGTTCTGTTTGTCATGCATCTGCTGATGCATGGTAAAGTGCAATTAGCTTTGCTGATGACTTCATCACACTGATGACTCATGTTCATCTTGGAGTCCACTAGGTGTGTCCAGATGAGCATACACATGCAGGGACATGCATTTCCCACAGCAAAAATAGCAGTGGCACAAATTTGTGCCACTGTTTTTTGCTACTGTGTACACACCCCTGCACATGGGTTTTGGTGCAGGGCAAAATGCCCCACTTCTGGGAAACTGTAATTTCCCCACTTCTCCCAGGTCCCAGCATGCTGGAGGACCCAGAGGACAAAAAGAGGAGGGAAGATGCTCTGACTGGCAGCCAGAGCATTTCCCAGAAGTACTGAACCTTTGTGCCTTCCAGTGCACATTCTTGGAGTATGTGCCATGCTGCTTTTTGGTTGGCATTTTTTTTTGTTTTTGTTTTTTTGCCTTTTGCTACTGGGATTTCCAAATAGCAAATATTTTCCCTGCACTGCAAATCTGCAGCATGGAGCACTGTTTAACATGCCACACTTGCAGTTTGTGGCACTGCAAAGAGGTTTGCAGCACCACAAACCACACATGCCTGCACATCTGAATCTAGCCATTATGACTTTATATCTGGATCAAAGGAATTTCCTCACTGGGTGTAAAGTACCCCAAGGACCATATAGGTACCTTCTGAGTTCTACTGGGCTCCCTGAGGCAGGCATGCTTTATTCCATCAGATCACTGTCTACACCTTCTTTCAGACCAAGGTCCAATTGTCTATCAACATAGATGTAGTTTCAGCCCATGGGTCAAAGCATACGTCTATCCTGGATCTCCTGATGAGGATGTAAAAGCCAGAGCAGGCAGCTGCCTGTACATATTTCTTCTTCGTCTCGTGAGGCCATAATCTAAGGATCATCTTCCTCCACTCTGGTGTTTTAATGACTTTTCAAGAACTAATGTGGCCTTGTTTCTAAATATCTAAGAAAAAGTAATTCAAGAGTACACTCAAAAACTTTGTCAGGCAAATTCACAGACAAACTCCCACAAGAGAGACATTGGCTGTAAGAACATCTCTGTGGCAGACACAGCCGACAAGATCCAATAATTTTGCTTCATCGGAGCTGTATGCATCTGGAATCTCTTGAGAGGCTCAAATGACAGTATGAGATAGTATCATTCAGAAGTGTTGCCTTTTCATTACGATGCATTGTGCTCCCCCCACTGACCCTAGACAGTTTCTAGGGTGACCATTAACATTAGTCTCCTCTCCTATTTGGCTGTTTTATCAAAAGCAGGGTACTAGTTATACATGGTTTTCTCATTTTATCCCCCCATATGGAAACCAGTTAATTTGCTCCTTTAGCGATTGGAGATTTCTCTATAGACCAGTGGATACTAAACACCCAGAGAGTGGTGGTGAACCCAGAGAGTGGGGGTGGATGGCTCGTTTTCAACCTGGAGGGATGTGGGCAGTGGAGTTCCCCAGGGCTTGGTCCTCCAGCCTGTGCTATTCAACATCTTTATCAGCGACTTGGAAGTGGGTGTGGAAAGCACGCTGTCCAAATTTGTTGATGACACAAAGATGTGGGGAGAAGTGGGCACACTGGAGGGAAGGGACAGAATCCAACTAGATCTAGACAGGTTACAGAGGTGGGTGGATAAGAATAAAATGGAATTCAACGCAGACAAGTGCAACATGCTGCATCTAGGGAGAAGGAACCTGCAGCATACCTATAGGCTGGGAAACACACCCCTCTCAACAGCACAGTGGTTGAAAGGGATCTTGGAGTCATTGTTGACTCCAGGATGGGCATGAGCTGCCAATGCGAGGAAGAGGTCAGTAAGGCTAACCGCACCTTGTTGTGCATCTACAGATGCATCATAAGCAGGTACAGGGAGGCGATCCTTCCCCTATATGCAGCGCTGGTCAGGCCACTGTTGGAGTACTGCGTCCAGTTCTCGGTGCCGCACTTCAAGAGGGATGTGGCTAACCTTGAGAGGGTCCAGAGGAGGGCCTCTTGCATGGTCAGGGGGCAGCAGGCCAGACCCTACACAGATAGACTAAAGGGCCTGAATCTATTCAGCCTCCACAAGAGAAGACTGAGAGGGGATCTGGTGGCTGTCTATAAATGCACCAGGGGGACCAGCGGAGAATAGGTGAGGCTCTGTTCCCCCAGGCACCACCTGGGGTAACAAGGAATAATGAGCACAAATTGATTGAGAGTAGGTTCAGGCTTGATATCAGGAGGCATTACTTTATGTATATGGCTGCTAGGCTCTGGAATGGGCTCCCAAGGGAGGTGGGGGTCTCTCCTCCCTTGG